CCTATATGTGAATAACAATGTTAGCTATGTACACCCAGGGTGCAAATAGCATCTGCCATATAATATATGTTATAATGAATTCAGATAAAAAATAAGATAAAGGACAGAGATATAGTCAGCACTTAATTTTATTTCGTATTTGCATGTGCTGCTAGTACTGGATTCAGCTTCAAGTGGCAGACTTTGACAGTTTCCTCCGTAAACACAAGGACCTTGGTGTTTCAAGAAGAAGAGCCACCACTGGAAAGGGAAACAGAGACATGTGATGGTTTTAGATTAAAGATTAGGCTCAAATTTCCTCTGATGTCTGCGAGTCTCACCTTCCCTCTCCATCCAGCAGCCTTCTATACTCTGAGATTTCCATCTCCAGCCTGGTCTTGATGTCGAGCAGAATGTTGTACTCCTGGGTCTGTCGCTCTATGTCTGCACGCAGCCCGGTGATCTGAGCTTCCAGATTTGCGACCTGCATCTGAAAACCTTGGAGCTGCATGGCATACCTCGCCTCTGTTTCTGCTAAGCTTCCCTCAAGAGCCGCTTTCTAAACAGGCAGACACAAAAAATATAACAGTAAAATATAAAATACTTGTCAGTTTCCCATATGTAATGCTACTTACCATGCTGAGTTGTGACTGAAGCTCAATTTGTAGGCTTTGAAGTGTGTTTCGGAGTTCATTTATTTCAGTTTTTGAACTTTGTATGCTTGCTTCGGCGGTTGCTACTTCTTGTTTCAGTGGTTCTGTCTGTGTAAAAGAAATATATTGTGATATTTGAAACAAAAAGCACCAATTTAACAAATGGGTTCAAATCATTAACCCAGTCTAAAATCTTACTTTACTGTTGAACCAAGTTTCTAGTTCTTTCTTATTCTTGGCAGCTACAGCCTCATATTGTTCACGCATTTCTTCCATGGCAGCCTGAAGGTCCATCTGAGGCTTAGATTCCACCTCCACGTTAACCTGTCCACCCACTTGATTCCTCATTGCTGCCATTTCCTGTAGAGAGAGAAATAAGGGAAGATTAAAAGATGAGTCAGTGCTACACCCCCTAAACTATCTTATTTTGTCAAAAACAGTTTAACACTGACAAAAAAGTCAAAAACTAAAAAAAAAGCATTTTTGTTAAACTTTTAAATCTGCTACATATTTATAAGTTATCCAAATTTTTTTTAACACAAAGGATATTTTCTCCACACACCTCCTCATGGTTCTTCTTGAGGAAGATCAGCTCCTCCTTGAGACCCTCAATCTGCATTTCCAGGTCGGATCTGGCCAAGGTCAGTTCATCGAGCATCCTCTTCAGGCCTGCGATGTCTGCCTCCACTGACTGGCGCATGGCGAGCTCGTTCTCATATCTGGAACATTAATTCATTAGTCCTACAGTTTAATGCTGAGAAACTAGTTAAGGTTACTTACTTTGTTCTGAAATCATCTGCTGCCAGTTGTGCATTGTCAATTGCCAAGTAGATGCCAGCGTTGACACTTGTGGCATCCTGGATCTGTGTGAATAAAAACAAATAAAAATAATAATCTTAAAACTAAAAATGCACAGAATGACACTATTGATATTACCTACCTTTCCCTGCAATTCAGCGATGGTAGCAAAGAATGGTGAGTAGTCTCGTGCAGTCGGAGATGTTTTACCCTCCAAGAACTGGCGGATCTTGAGCTCTAGATCAGCATTGGCAACCTCTAGCTTGCGCACTTTATCCAGGTAGGTGGCCAGACGGTCGTTCAGGTTCTGCATGGTCAGTTTTTCATTGGCACTGATTGAAAGCTCGTCGCCGCCACCAAACCCACCGCCGAAACCACCGCCGAAACCACCGGCGAACCCACCGCCAGCTCCACCAGCAAAACCTCCACCCCCACCCGAGCTAAATCCAGAACCCCCACCCATGCCATATCCAGCACCACCTCCAGAGCTGAAGGTGTGAGTGGTTGTGGACATTCTCAGGCCACCACCCCCTGCCCCATGGACACTGTGGGCGTACGGGCGCCCGCCGATCCTTCCACTGCCCCCACCGCTGTAAGACTGTTTGGAGAAGGAGTAGGTTGCCATTGTTGAAGGCTGCTCAGAGATCTGCCTGTCTTGGAGAGTCACTGATGACTGGTACAATGTGTTCTCTGCTGTTTTTATATCCTATGCACCTGAAAACGATCCCCACCCACCCTCCCCCCAGGCCTCTGTCCCAGCATCACTTCTCACAGTCATCAAGAATTTGATGCCAAAGAATGTGCCAAGATTTTCTCAACTGCCACAGCAAAACACTAAAACCCCAACTGAGTATACGCCTTTTCAACACCAAATTACAACAGACTATTTGATTACCTTTCTGTACAGGCCATATGTTCAAGCTACACCTTTTGTTATCTTAATGCTTGTAAAATGATTATGACCCTTAGTTGACCTTTCATATAATCCAGAAAAAATTGTTAATTAACATGGTTACTCATTCTTAAATATGTTTTTTTCCCCCCTAGTACATTTGGTAGAGTTTGTAATACATTACTAGAGGCACTGAATGAAGACACTTGAATCTTTTTCTGTTTTAGATACTGTTCTTGTGCACAGGAATGCTTTGTTCTGGCAATCCAATCCATATCAAGCCAGAACAAGAACATGCATTTACTTGATTGTTTCTTTCTAACAGACATCAGAGAGTGTATGACATTCAGAAGGTTGTGGCCATACCGGCTTGTCAAAGCCTGATCCTGTCAGATCTCAGAAACTAAGCAAGGCAGGGCCTGGTTAGTACTTGGATGGGAGACTGCTGGGACAGGTGCCACAGTGGGACACCAGTTGCAAAAATGTTGTTGTGTCCTTTGGCAAGGCACTTGACCCACATTGCCTAGTATGAAATTGGTGTGTGTGTGTGAGTGATGGTGGTCAGAGGGACGATGGCACCAATTGGCATGGCAGCGTCTTTGTGACAAATGTCTGTGAAAAGTGCTATATAAATAAAAAACGTACTTACTTTACCTTTTCTGTTTGTATGTTTTTTCGTTTATTGTGGTGAACCATGCAAACTTTAGCCTTTTACCTTAGATAAACAGCACTGCCTTTGTTCTGTCAACTATCAACTTAAGCCTAAGAGAGGCTGCTCACACACAGTTAGTTTTGACCAAACCTTGAAGGTACATTGTATAACTTTCCTGGTGGAGGGTCTGTCAAATGCTTTGGATCTCCATGGAGATGTTATTACTTTATTTAGAATGCTTCACAGTATGGTATTAAGCTTTTGTGTCTTCATTGAGTCTAAAATTACGGCTCAGATGTGTGGAGAAGCATCAGCCCTCACAGTCAGACTGTATGTTTTTCTGGGTATTTTTGAGCTATAAAACCACCTGTAACTGTATAAATATGGTAGAGCTGTTTCATGTCATACTGTGGAACATTCTAGGCAGAGCAATAACATCTCCATAGAAACAAGCAGGTGACAGACCCCCAACCAAAACGTTACATAACACCTTTAACAATGAAAAATCTAACTTTCCTCAGAATATCAAGATACCTGGAAAGCTTTAGGGTGCAATAGAAAGAAATGTGAACAAGAGCCCAGAATGAAGGTGAATAGAAAAACTCGATGGTATCTGTGTTTTTCGTGAGGGAATCACAATATAACAAATATACAATTCATTTTGCATTACAAGGTTGCTGTTGTAGAAAAACTGATTCACCTGCTATGTAAAAAAAAAAAAGTAAGAACCTTGTGTGGGCAGATGAAAGAAAAAGCGTAAAAAGCCTCAAATCAGCACAAACTGATTTGCTATGCTAATTTAAAGGCCCTGTTGATCTTTACTTCTGGATGTGCACTTAGCAAAAAAAAAAAGATCTTATTCCAGATAATTGGTTTCTTTATACACAGTACTCTCACACAAGTGAGAGAAGAGACTAATGGTATGAAGTCAACCATGTTCAATCATTGACTGAACTATGTTTTTCACTCATCGTTCCACAGAGATTTACAGAGTCTCTTTGGAGTCTCTTTGGAACAAAATGTTTTTTGTTATTTCTTTTGTTAAAATACAATATAGCAGATGCAGAAAACAGCAGCAGAGACAGGTAAGCTAAGCTAAGGGTTAACATTGCTTTATGTAAATTCATCTTATGTCCCTCAGGCATCAACAGATTTTTACCTTCTCACATCATGCTTGCTCTTAGTTTAGTTGATCAGCCCAAACATGTTGTATCAAACTAAGCTTTCACTGGGCCCAAATTTATTACCAAGCTCAAGTTGCACAATCTTTGAGAGGCCTCTAGTTTGAAGTGGTAGGGGATATGAAAAACTAGTGTTAAAAAATATTTTATGGCAAAAAAGACACAAGCAGGGGCGTGTATGAATTGTTGTCACCATAGTAACTCGGAGCTAACACTTAAGCCCTTTGCAAACATGCATGTTCAGTACGAACCTCAGCCTGCTCAAATGCAGAGCACTAGGGCCCTGTGGGTGGGGTAGGTGTTTTGTTTTAACTTAACTTAAATTAACTCCTTATTTATTTATGGTGTATGTTAGATACAATGCTACAATGATAGCCTATGTCATCATACCCTGTTCCCCCATTAACCCGTGCAGCACACAAGACCAATCTGCTCTATAGCAAACCCATGGAATAATGGCTTTTTAAGGCATTATTTATAACAACAACAACATTTATAAATAGTTGATTCTACATCACACTGTATGGTGCAAAAAGCACTTTAGCTGACTCAAAGAAATAAAAGTCAGATACAGGGAGTTCATTTACAGTATCATATTTGAACATCATCCTTTAGTTTAACTGTCTAATTTGAATCTTTTTTAGATGAGGCCCATTGGAATCCCAATCACTACCTAGAGTTTAAGTGACTGCTGATTGACCTTTTTCCATTCTTTAAAGAATAAATAGGGTTCATTTGGTGTCTTCTTTCTATCTGTTGTGTTGAATCTGCCTTCTTTATTCTGTCTATGTATGGCTGTTGTTAAGAAGCTCATTGAAACAAACTTTGATTTCAACTGCAGATTTTTATTATTTCATTTTATTCTTTATGTTTCAGTATCACTCAATTTGATCCACATCAACATCCACGGTCTTGCTGCTCTCCACCACTTTTCCATCCACAACAGTCTCCACGACAGTGATGACCTTGGTGACCACTAAGGGCAAAAGGTAACACAAAACAAGAGCCATTTCTCTTAAATCATGAAAATGGGTCAACACATTTCAATAGGCAAACCAAGAATATTTTAACTATTTGTTTGTAACTATTAGTTTAATTGTATTTCTGTATAGCACTTTTTTTTTTTTTTATTACATTACAAAATGTGTGTTGATGTTAATCGTGCTCTACTAGCATTTCAAGCTACAGCCCTTTGCACAATACTATTAATTTATTTAAACATTTCTTACCTTGTTTGGTGCTGTTGATAGAACAAGGAGACAAAGCAGGAGGAGTTTAGTTAACACTTGCATGTCTTTAAATGTCACTTTTTGATATATTTTTAAAATATTTTACCTCTCGTCCTCTCCGTCCAGCAGCCTCCTGTATTCTGCGATCTCCAGCTCCAGCCTGGTCTTGAGGTCTAGGAGCAGTTCATACTCTTGTTTGTTGGCTGTGATATTGGCATGGAGCTGAGCCAGCTGAGCCTCCAGGCTAGTCACTGTACTCTGGAGGGCAGCCAACTGAGCAGCATAACGGGCCTGTGTCTCTGCAAGGTTTGTCTCCAAAGATGCTTTCTGTGGGACAAGACCATTTTAGGGTTTTGTTATTTGCACATTGTGATATATTTGTTAGTAATATCAATTTGTTACTTTGACCATTGATCCCCTATTTTAAAAATAGCAATGATATGATTAAAAACAGAGGTTTATTTTACATTCTGCTATTATCTACATTTAGAATAGAGAAGAAGCACATTCAAAAGAACTCAATATTACATTTTACAATGAATAACTGGTATATAGCCCATAGCCTTTCATTTCTATTTGAGGGTTGTATCTTCTTAGATAATTGTATTGTGAGATACTTTACTATGTTCTGACTTTAAAGCTTTAAAGGCTTTAAAGAAAAATACCTTATTGCTGGCTGCCTTACCATGCTCAAATGGGACTGCAGTTCAATCTGGAGCCTCTGGAGGGTGCTCTTCAGGTCTTTGATCTCTGTGCGAGATACTGTCAGTGTTTCTGTCTGTGTGATCACCTCCTGCTCAACTGCAGCAATCTAAAAAAGAAAAACCCCAAATATTACCTGAGATGAAATTTTTAAACTGCTGTTTAACTTGCTGCTCAGGCACAATTGTAAAAAAGACACACCTTGCCATTGTACCACGACTCTAGTTCTTTGCGGTTCTTTGCGATGACACCCTCGTAATGGTCCCGGATTTCAGCCATGGCGCCGTTCAGGTCCATAGATGGAGTGGCGTCCACTGTGACATGGACGTCTGAGCCGACATTGGCCCTTAGCAGAGCAAGCTCCTGTAAAGGTCAGAAAACACCAAGTGTTTGAGTTTTGAATTGTATAAAATTATCCTTAACATCATCTTAAAGGACAAATGTTCACTTGATGGCTAGTCTTTCCCTCTCTTGTGCTGTAATGTAGAGGTCTGCATTGTAGTTCATACCACCTGTTTTTATGAATTATAATTAAAGTAATGATGTGAGGTTAGGACAATCTTTTGGGGATTGGCACGACTGACTGTTAAAGCAATATATATTTCTTTACTACTATTCTATTTTCTATTCTACTAGTCAATCAGAGTTACTGTTTGCATTAGGCTGACAACTGAACTCAGCTCATATGTCAACAGTGAATGGTGTTTTCTTCTGAATAGATGTAGGGCTGTTTCATTCATGATTGTTAGAGCTTGTATTAGGTGTATATACTTAGGGTGTAGACCTTTGTGTGGCCTGTCATGTACAGTGACAAATGTAAACTCATTAGTACAGTTGGAGCCCTCACCTCCTCGTGGTTCCTCTTGAGCATGATGAGCTCATCCTTCAGTGCCTCGTACTGACTCTCCAAATCCATCCTTGCCAGGTTCATCTCATCAATGACTCTCTTCAGCCCAGCAATGTCTGCTTCCACCGCCATCCGCATGGCCAACTCATTCTCATACCTGCCAGGGGTGGGCCAATTCAAAGGTCAGCAGGGTTTTAACAGGCCATTGAGACTAGTAGTTGTCACACAAGTATGAGTGCATGTTTCGGGGCATTTGTGAAGTTTCACCTATGTGTGCTCTGGAAAAGAAAGATACTCACTTCATTTTGAAGTCATCAGCTGCCAGTTTAGCATTGTCAATGTCCAGGACAATCTTGGCATTGACTCTGGAGGCAATGCGGATCTGGGCAAAAATGAACAATTTAGGCCAGATTTTACAAAATGCATTTGCACCCATTGAATCATTAGGGAATTTCTGATTGATCTAGTGACTTTTTCCTGTTCTTAAGGCTTCCATTATTAAGATTATTAGATTTTTTTAATTTTTTTAATAGATGGCAGCTGTAGCATCTAGTGGTGATATGTGAGAATATAATAGGACAGTCTAATTACAGATGGTACCTTTAATTTTATATATATATTTATATATATATATATATATATATATATATATATAATATTTTTTTTTTTTTTTTTTTTCAAAGAAAGATACATTTGAAAAAAGTATTCACAATTTATTGGCTTAAACCAAAAGACAAATTCCTCTCTTGGCAGCACACATATTTCAGGCCTAATACATTCTAAATTTAATTCCTGGTTTTACCTTATCCTTCAGGTCTTCAATGGTGGCAAAGTAGTGGCTGTAGTCATGGGCGACGATGGTCCGGCTCTGATACCACTCTCTGATCAGCTTCTCCAGGCGCTCGTTCTCCTTCTCCAGAGACTTCACCTTGTCCAGGTAAGAAGCCAGACGGTCGTTCAGGTTCTGCATAGTGGCCTTCTCGTTGGCCCCAACATGGAGGTCCAGGCCATCAGCCAGATTGAAGCCTCCAGAAGAGTAGCCACCAGAGGAGTAGCCACCACCAGAGGAGTATCCCCCAGAGGAGAAGTTCATCTGGGCTGAGGAGATGCGGGTACCCTTGCCGCCTGCTCCGCCATAGACGCTGGAGGTTTTGTACGATCTCAGAGACATATTGGTGGCTGTTAGCTGTGGGCCAGGTAGGATGACTGGAGTGGATCTGCAGTTGAAAGCATCCTTGTGTCTCCTTGGTTATATAGCAGACTCACACAGTTGAAGTGGGAGTGGCTGGAGCTTGTTGAAAGAGAAAAATGCCACCGTACTGGATACCCACCTACCCCCCTTTACAATCAGTCCATCAGTAAGGGTGGGTACGCCTTTTTTACGGGTCAAACCCATGATTTGGTCTGTGATTTGCAAATGATGGGTAGTGCTACAAATACTGACCAGGTCACTTATTCTATTTCGTCCCTCCCCACGAATACTCCTTTTGTCTGCAATATTTCTTTGTAAGGGAAATGTATACAATATCACTGATTACTATGACAATTGTTTGCAAAGTGACAGAACTGGCACATAGCAGTGACAATATCACTCAAGTGAAACTTGGGGTCATAGGTGGGCCCAGGCATCCACTCCAGGTTATTTTCATCAGCAGCCTGCAAGTAACTTTTAACAATGCCATGAAAGTATTTAGATTACATCCAAGTAAGAACAGATTTAAATATACATGGCATACCAGCAAAATCCAGTTTAAATAATATTTGCTTTATGGACTGAAGCTGTTAATTAAGTCAACTGTGATGACTCTGAGCAGACAACTGTCAAGGCCTGGGGTAAGAAGCATTTTTTTTCAAAATGGTCATGGAAGATTTGCAGATAGAGATATTTTTCATTCCTCAGCTTGGTTGAATTGCTCATGTCAAATATACTGTGTCAAAAATAGTACACAGTCAAAGAGCAGCTTTGGAGCACATATTATTGAGAAAGTGCTCATTTATTTATTTTTCCTTTTAACTGGTAACTGATAACTGATTGATATATTCCATATTAGAAAAGCTAATGTTACTTTGTTACTGAAAGTACTGTGTCACTGAGCTACTGGTATTTATCAAAAAACTTTCTTATCTCTTTATAATGCTTTCCTAAACTTGTTCTGGTGTGTAAATATTAGTCATTATATAATGCTATAGCTTTACCTGAACAATGGTAAACAACATTTATATGGCAATAACTTTATATCAGTCACTATGTAGAGGTATTGCTGGTATGTTTAAGTCAAACATGCCTGAGCTGCCTGTGTCACTTCATTGTCTTGTCTGGAGAAAAGCAGGGCCTGGCCAACATGCACAGATGACAGAGCTTTGATCATATCTACAGCACTGTCACTCAAAGTCTTCAAACATACTTCATACAGTAAGAAAAATGAAAATCATTTTTCTGTATTTTGACAGTTGTGGGTGAAAAAATAATTTAGTAACTAATCCTGATTACCGCTAAGGTCAATTATATTTTTCTGAATGTAATGGTAAGAAAGTGAGATATGCCTTTTGGTGCATTTCAAATAATAAAACACAAGTTAATTATATATTCTTTATCATGTTTGAGAACACTTTTGAGGTAGTTGGGGTTGTATTACTGGCACCAATTCTAGACATAGCGAAAGTAGAAATAGTTGTTACTAAAGTAAAAGTATAGAATTATTATCTATAAAGTAAGTAAGCAAACCTTACTGTCATTTCTCTATTTATATAGTTAATTCTATTTGAGTATATAATCATTTGAATACTTCCACCAGTAGGCCTATATAATTCACAATAGCACTTAAGTGACCAGCTTACTTCTAAATTACCAACAAAACACACTATAAAATAAAAAAATTCATCAGTTATTTAGCTTGTTTTGTTGAACATTTAATCCCTTCCTTCCTATGCCCCAAGTCAAACAGACCAGGATCAGGGCAACAACAGGATTAGTTTGTAAACCTCCTCTGTCAATTCTTAGTCTTGCTCAGATGGTATCTGACTCCAATTCTTGTCAAAGATCTGAGTTTGTTCTACACCAAAAATGTTGCCTGACCAGCTCCCCTCATGATTCACTTGACACCTTCCAGTTCACACTACTAGTAGAGCTATGTCCTATGAGAGAGCCATTGAGGGCTTAACAAACCTTTATTTACTTTGCATTAGCTAAACTGTCATGGCCCAGTGACTTATTATTTTAGTACATTGTGCTGCCCATACATGCTTGTAGCAACAGGCTAATCTGGTCAATGATCTTTTTATTTACAAAACGTAATTTGTTCTTCGTCGCCAGTAATGAAGATAATGGAGAGGGGCATTGTTTTTCGTCAGTTTCTTTCATATTATTCTTTTTCCGACAAAATTATTGCATTTTTGACCCCCTGAACGTCAATGAAAAGTCCCCAAACCGGGTATTAGATCAATCAGTCCGGCAAAAAAAAAGATATAAAATACACATCACGACAATGCCCCAAACGACCCGACTCAACAGCACCGCCTACATTTGATGGGGGGGGGGCAAGCAAAGTTTGTTGCAGGCAAACGAAATTTGGGACAGTGATACAGAACTATGAAACAAGCCAAAAGATTAATTGGTGCAAACCCCTATGAGGAATATAATCCATATTTCATTAAAAAGTCTAGTTCCTGGTTTTTTGTCCAAATGAGCTCAGATTTGCTATGTCACATCTACAGGCATAGGTTCACAATAGTTATCAGTTTTTTTCGGGGGATACTCCGTATGGTTTGCCCATAGCACACTGGCGAAAAACACCTTAATTTCTTGTTTTTTTGATGACCTCTCACTGCCAGTGCCATTGGCCTAGAAAACTCAAATTTAAATCACAATTGCAGGACCCCAACCAAGCATTCAACTCAATGGCGCATGACTCCAGATTAGCCTATCTCGGCTAGGTACTTCTCCGGGCCGACTGAGCATGCGCAGTAGTGCTCTTTTCCAAAAATAGTTAAAAACATCATACACGCACATGCTTAGTTCGATCGTGCTGAAATTTAAATCAGTTATACACTGCATGACCCTGATTTCATTGATAAATGTCAAACACAATTATCAGTGCTACAGCGCCACCTATAGGAATGCACAAAGTTTTCCATGGGAAGAAAAAAAAATTACTTCAAAATTAATTCCTGAAACTTTGCAGAACATTCACTGACGTGCTCCTGATCATAAAAGTCAATGAAAGCTATGCCCTTGTTTGTATAGGTTTGCCTCTAGAATCATTCACTTTTTAGAAATTTAAACTTTCATAGTGGAGGGTGTGTTTTCACTCACAGTCTTAGTCTGACAGTGCTCATAAAAGTCATGTGACCTGTGGCCTAATACAATGCATCTCTTCCGTTAAGGTTAATGTATATTGAGCATTGTCCCTATCTCATTAAATAAACTGAATAAGTAATATTTTCCAATTTTAAAGGTACACTATGTAATTTTTCTGGTGGAGGAGCTGTTGGTCTGAGCGGCTGCTGGGAAGAGAGAGTGGCGTGTTGAGCGATCGCGAGTCCCTGGCGGCCTCGTGCTATTCTGTTCTTCCTGTAGCTTCTGTCATGGCTGAATCTCAGCCGTCCACTTTTTCATGGCTATTTCTGAAGCCAACTCATCAAGAACAAATTTATGAGCTGTGTGTTCATTGATCTTTTTCTTTTGTTCCCAGATCAGTGTAATAACTCTTGAGGGGTTGAGAGAGGGTAAGGAGTTACAGACAAAATTGTTGGTACCCCTCTGGCAATGAAAGAAAAATTAACAATCATCACTGAAAGAACTTGAAACTGATGAAAGCAATAATAAATAAAAAAAATTACTAAAAATTGTTCAATGAAAATCAAACTTGGAAAATTGCTTTTCGCAAGTGGTTCAACAGAATCATTTGAAAAAACAAAATAATGAAACTGTCCTGAACAAAAATGATGATAGCCTTAACTTAACATTTTGTTGCACAAGCTTTTGAGGCAAACTCTGCAAACAAATGATTTCTGTAACTGTCAATGAGACTTCTGCACTGGTCAACTGGTGTTTTGACCCACTTCTCATGAGCAAACTGCTCTTGTTGTCTCAGGTTTGAAGGATGCCTTCTGCAGACAGCATGTTTCATCTTATTTCACAGATGTTCAATAGAATTGAGGTCTGGGCTCACAGAAGAACACTCAGTCCAGTGGTTTGTTCTTAACCATTCCTGAGTGTTTTTAGCTGCATGTTTTGGGTCATTATCCTGTTGGAAGACCCATGACCTATGACTGAGACCAAGCTTTCTGACACTAGGCAACACATTTCGTTCCAAAATACCTTGATAGTCTTGAGATTTCATTGTACCTTGCACAGATTCAAGACACCCTGTACCAGATGCAGCAGAACAGCCCCAGAACATAACCAAGCCTCCTCCATGTTTCACAGTAGGGACAGTGTTCTTTTCTTGGTGCACTTCATTTTTACGTCTGTGAACATAGAGCTGATGTGCCTTGCCAAAGAGCTCCAGTTTTGTCTCATCTGTCCACAGGACATTCTCCCAGAAGCTTTGTGGCTTCTCAATATGCACTGTGGCAAATTTAAGTCTTACTTTTTAATGATTTGCTCTCAGCAGTGGTGTCCTCCCAGGATGTCCACTTAGGCTGAAACAGTGATGGATGCCGCGATCTGACACTGATGTACCTTGCCCTTCGAGTTCACATTTCATTTCTTTGGAGGTTGTTCTGGGCTCTTTGGTTACCATTCGTATTATCCATCTCTTCAGTTTGTCATCAATTTTCCTCTTGCAGCTGTGTCCAGGGAGGTTGGCTACAGTCCTGTGGACCTTAAATTTCTAAATAACATGTGCAACTATAATCACAGGAACATGAAACTGCTTGGAGACTGTCTTATTGTCTTTATCTTTAACCTGCTTGTCTATCATTTTCTTCTAGTCTCCTGACACAGTTTTCTTTGCTTTCTCTGGTCCATGTTCAGTGTTTGAATCCATCATGTCTCCAAACAGCACAATGACACATGTCCCCCTTTAAACAGGCAGACTGACTGAGGACAAGTTTGAAGACACCTATAATGCCAATTAGAGGACACACCTAAGTTTAACATGTCCCTATTGTCCAATTACTTACAATCTTTTTTGGGGGTAACATCATTTTAGTCCAGGCCAGTTTCATTAATTGAGTTTTTTTTAATTTATTTATTA